AAACATTTGGATTAAATTAACCATGAATTTGGGAGATGGTCTATAAGACTGTAACTAATGTGAGAGTTTTCTTTTATCCTTCTCATGAAATAATTAAAACTCATATTGAGCAGTCAATGAATCTAGCAAATTCTAGAAAATTTAGACTTTCTCTATGTTAAATCAACACATAAACAAATTATTTAAACTACTTACCGGCACAGCAAAGGAGCAGTAGTGGCACAGTAAGGGCGCAAAAGTGATACAGCAGCAGCACAACAATGGCGTTGAAGTAGTGCAACAGGGGATTTAAGGGGAAGATCAAAGGGGAAGGTCGAAGGTGACCTATGTGAGAGACAGAGAGTTCAAGAGTGAGAGAAGGCAGAGGCAGTGTTGTGAGAAATGAGATATGGAGAAATAAATAACAGAATAAGTTTAATTAGGGTTAAAAGCATTGGGTTGGGTTGAAAAAAATTGGGTTAAATTTTATTGAATTGGGTTTGGGTTTAAAAATTATATTAAATTTAAAATGAAATTTTTTTTTTTAATTTTTCGTGGGATAAGGATCCTTGCGGGGCCTCGCGGGGCAGGGAAAATTCCCAGCAAAATTTATTTTCCCCTCGTCCCTGCCCCGTGGAAGGGATCCCTATGGGCCCAGGGCAAATTACCACCCCTAAATGCAGTCAACAACAAAACAAAACAATAATATATATATATATATTCTAGAAAAATTGAACGGTAAAACTTTGGGTGCTTGATTCAAAGTTTGATTTGTGTACCCCTTCCATGGGATATGCCTAGAACATTCCCCTCATCGCTGCCCCAAAGTTCCTCTGTTTTAGAGAATACACACAGGAGACGAGGCTAACAATTGAGAAGCAAAAGAAGAATCTTAAAGCTATCTGGTTGCTGTGGAATGGGGAAGCTAAGCTGCAGCTACTGTGAGACAAAGAAGGTGAGTTTCTGGTAATGAAAGGAAAGACGAAGAAGGCCAAGAGTTGAAGTTTCCTGTGAGCTATGGTTGTTGTGATGGAGGATGGTGATGATCAAAGAAAATAACGAAAGGGGGTTTTGGATGGGAGAAGAATCGAGAGCTTTTCCCTTTTTCTGGTTCTGCCATCCCCACCTTCTATGTAGCTTGCCTCCCTTTTTAAAGACAAAGGAATTAGGGTTTTATTATTGGTTTTGGGTTGAGCTTGGGTTGGGCCTTGATTAAAGGATTATGGGCCTTTTGAGATAGTTTTGAGGTGTACATGAGCTAATCTGCAAGGCCTTTGCATAATTTTTGAAATTTATTCTCGAACTTTGACTTCCCTCAACTGAGTCCCCTTCCTTGAGTTCTTTCCGATCTCTTCTTGAATTTCTTTTTGCATGTAGTACTTGGAACAAAATAAAGATATATATTAGTTTTTTCTAAAAAAAGAGAAAAATTCATGTTTTTATATTTTTGTGTTGTTTTGACATTTTTTTTATGATTTTTGATTACTTTTGTGATATTTATATATATTTAATTTATTTATGAAAAGTCTAAATAAACTAAATGAAAAATCAGATTATGACAACTTAGGAAAAACATGCTTAATCGAACAAATTTTATCCCACTTTACTACCCCACGCATTCAAAGCACTTGTTTTTATTTGCAAGTTCCATCTTATAGTATAACAAAAGGAAAAAAAATCCCTAACATTTTCAAACTTTCTTCTTTGGTGAACCCTAAATTTTGAAAGAAACTATCTAAAATTTTGGATCTTTTATCTTATAATGCATGTCTTATAGATCCAATCAAAAGAAAGTCCTTGATCTTGAGCAAAAGTGGAGCATGAATATTACTAAATATAAGGTATATGTTTTAGATTTTGTTTAGGGTTTTGACTTTTGTGATTGTGATCTTTGAAAAATGGAACTTTTTCTAGTGAGATTTTTTAATAAATATAATGCAAAATGTTGACTCAAAC